TTTGGTCTTGTCACCGATTTAAGCGGTGGAGGGTTAGAGTGAGGTAAACACTTACGCGTCTATTTCACTATAATATCGTGCTAAGCTCCTATCACCGTCTCTGCTCTTGAGCACAGGGTAGACCTCATCGAAATGGATGGTAATACGACACACACACACCATCTGCTATCACAGATTAGACTTAAATTGTTCTTGTCTTACAGCTTTTTTCAAAAAGATGAACGAAATATGGATCTCCCAGAAGGAAGGATACCATTTTGCCAACTGACCTGAGTGTTGTTTGCCGTGCCGATCGCTTAAGGCGATGGTATCGCGCGGTTTGAGGTCGGATGAACGAGGATCCGCTGCTTGTGAGGATTCTGATTGCATGTTGGAAAAATCCGGCTGACGTATTCCACCAAATACCATTTGCGCTACTGCCGATTCATAATCTACAGTGCCTAAAGCCTGCGAAATGGACGCCGGTGGCTGGAAGACCTGAGTGGTAGGGTCAATGCCGACGTATCCAACCGAGCTGGAACCGTCCGGTCCACAGGGATCTCTACCCTCCGGTTGCAAGGAGCTGGGCTTAGGTGGCGTGGATTGATATCTTCTAGGACTGTAATGGGAAAGGAAGATCGGATGGTAAGGTGAAGGTCAGAGCTCGGTTTCATTCTGAGTCCAGTATAGCAATAGTTGTTGTTTTGGCAATATTGGGAAGCAGTTAGAACACAAGGGCGGTTCGACTGCATTCTAAGTTCTGCTTTGAATTCTGCACTTAGTACTGGATAACACTTCATGGAAACTTCACAAACGCCAGTAAAATGCAATTGCTAAGGGCAAATGATAGCTTAGATTTGTTCAACGACCAAAACAACACACATAAGCCGGCAAAAATTTAATTCCGGGAATAGGCAACGATGAGAACTTCAACGGTTCGCTGAATTCGAATATATAGGTAGTGTTAGCACGAACTCGGAAATAGTCAGTGAGGATGTTTGGAAAATTGCTTGCAAAGCAGAGGGATAAACGGTTGCGCAAGAGATATCTTTCTGTCCAGGAAAGTAATAAAAGGCGAGTTATTAATTAAGGCAAACATGATGGTTCTGAGGAAAATTTGTAGAGGATGTTAACGCACAAAAGCAAGCAGTCTAAACTTCAAAGTACGACCGTAAGGTGCTAAACCTTCTCTGTAAACGGACTGGTGAAATTGTTTTGTCGTCTGAACGAGGTGTATACGACTGTTCCACTGGTAAGACTACAAACAGCCAATCTTCTATAGGCAAAGCAGCAGTTTGTATTTTTACAAACATCGGGCGCTGGGCTCAGCATTCGGTATGCTCGTGAACTTGAGCACTTGCCCAACTGTTTAGTTTGTTTCTGTAACTTTGTCTTTTCAGAAGTCTGTTTTGGCGAGTACACGTATAACTGGGTCGCACGAGCCGACACTTATCCAAAAGAATAAAGGAAGACCTCCCGGCATGGCTGAGAAAAGGCGAGGTCAGGAGCATAAACAGCCCTATTCTGGCGCACATGGTTGGCTCCGGACATCGAGTGAACCCCAACGAAGCTTTCCGAGTAATCTACAGGGTCCCACCAAATTATCCAAAGTCCCTGGGTCAGCGCCTGCTAGCAACAGCAGAAGCGACCGCTATCAGGTTGATGAAGCCGGCGTTGTGTGCGCAAAATAACTTCGCGCAAGCTCCACATCTGGTGTGGCCCGCAGTCACTTAGCGGCAAGCACTCATCCGTACGCTGGTTGGTTCCCGCTTGTAAGAAGGGACAAGCATTATCGACTGTTTGTTCAAATTTCCCCTGCCATAGAAACGTGTTGGCCTGAAAAGAGTTTATCGAAAGTATACGTGAATTGTCTGATAAGAACTTCCGCAACTTAGTCTTTTGCTGTTGGTTTGCGTGTCCAGCAATCCTCATTTTACAATTTTCTCTCCACCGGAAAGATATTAGACGGAAAATACCCTTACATACAATTTGAGGCGTTAAAAATATCCTTCACAAAGTTTTACATTCCTTAGCACATATATAACAATTAGTTAGTTTCTAACACCCACCAGTGTGGGTTGGTTGTAATTTCCCAATTTTTTGACACTGAGATATTAGCAGCGCTTACTTATAAGTGAGTGAGCGAGCGACACCTCAGCAAAGAGATCGATTAAATCAACAAAAATAAAACATAAACCGAGTAGAAGGCTGCGACTGTCCATGGAACATGGCAAGGGAGACACTTGTTGCTTAGGCAAAACCAAAAGTTTCATTGTGAGTTTCTAAATCAAATCGTTTGTCTAAATTTGTGACCTATCTGACTTTTCAAATAATCGGATTGGCGTCCACCTCCATAAGGTTAAAGCACAAATGACTGGTGGTTGGCAGAGTGGGATCGTCGTAGTTGACCACGCAGCTGTCTGTGTGGTTTCCTGTGCCTCGTTTTGATGAGTGATTGACGGATGGACACGCCGGGGAGGTCAGTCGCATGCCCAGGACTAACGATTGTATTCCCTTCGAGCTTCGACTGAGTGACAAATTCAAACTCAAAATAAAAAAGAAATAACTTTTTTCCTTTACACATAGCTGTTAGATAGTCAACTGGAGTCTACAATCTTCCTACACCAGGTCTTCTTGTACTCGAGTCCACGCTGATTGTTGTAGTACCTATCCTCGCACCCTAGCCGGTCCCCGATTTTCTTTGCTATATCTGGACACCGGACAAGAGTGGAAGAGTATGCGGAGTGCAGTAGGTGCAGCGTTAGTCTACTCTTGCTGTAATCTAATTTATGCGCAAGCCATTGCCCCTGTGCCAGAGAGCTTTTCTAATTGAGCTGCCATTTTTTTCTCTTCCCCTAGTCGCAAGTAAATGTTCTTGCATATAAGTCGGTTGGCCTACTTCGCGCATTATAAACGGACTTTTATCCCTTTTTTGTTTATTTGAACTAAAGTGAGGTGTTGAATGCACGAGATCACGGCCCTAGCGCCGTTTTAAAAGCAGTCCAATTTGGCCCATATGTGACGACTTTTCCCAGGGACATTTATCCACAATGTTGACAATTGTAGTCATTGGCGATTATTGGATTACTGCTGACATCCCAGTGTTGTGAGTTTGTGTGCCTGATTTTATTCCTTTTGAGTGGAGGACGTTTTTTGCTGAAAATTTTGGAATGCTATTTTTTGAATAGAACGCATCTCTCCCTCTCTCTCTCATTACGCCCGCACTGGGATGCGTACGGTAAACGTTGTTGGCAAAGATGATCGGAGTGTTACCCATTCCTGCAAACTATCCCATAAACTAGGACAAAAGTTCTGTTCCAAGGAACAGAAATGTTACACTTGTGGTCTATGGTCACCTCTTCTTCCAAAGATACGGAAACATCCGAGAGACGGATTTCAAAAACTTGAAGGAAGCATTAAAACTGAGTGACTTTTCTGTGCCTATTCGAAAATTAATCGACAATAGCATTACCTTGGAGGCAGTAGCATTGACCTGCGCGCAGCAGATGCCTCATAGATATTTTGGAGATGACTGCGTAGGGGCTGCTCCACGGACTCGAGGCCGACATTCGACTGCAGATACTCAGGGCCCGCCAGCGGTGAGGTACCCTCGTCGAGACCTGCTTCCGGTTG